AAAAAAAAGAAGGCTGCCCAGGATGATCCAACCTGAACCCACTATAATGTAATTACAGACTGCCTGTTTTGTTTACTGCTGCATCCCTAGTGTTTAGAACAATGCTAGACACCTAATAGTACTAAGCAAGTAGGTGAGGATGGATGGATGGATGGATGGATGGATGGATGGATGGATGGATGGATGGATAGATGGATGAGGGGTCCCTGGCAAATTTGGACAAGAAATAAGATCAGTCTAAATATTTTGCTTGAGGTTTAATATTATATTTCAAAGCTCTAGAAAGTATTGGTGTATTAGACATTTTCATTTCTTTTTCCCCTTCTCCTCATTTCGCACCCGATTCTATCCGTTCCCTTCACCAGTTTTCTCATCTGACAAGGCATCTTCTCTTGGTCCGGGTCCGCTCTGAGTGAGCAGCACTTTTCTGGAGGGGGTTCCTCATGACAGTCAAAGGAATGTATTACACAGGGCCCGTGTGGGGTGGGAGTGGGACAGTTCCGTGGCCCCTAAACCTGAGTCCTGTGCGTCCCGTTCCCACCGTGTTGCCTGTGGTCTTATTCCAGAAGCTTGTTCCTGTCCTTGTGGTTTGCTGTTTGGAAAATCACCTTAATGCAGGTGAGTCAACACAGGTGGACACGAAGAAGCGTCATTTGGAACTGGAACTTCACACGTGAACGTGCTGAGGCTTTCTGCTGCTGGAGGGTCCGGGTTCTGTTTCTTAGCATCTCCGTGTTTTTACTAGAATCCATCTCAGAAGCGATGAAAGAAGAGCCTTTCTCTTAAAAACTGTCGTAGTACTCACCTATTTTGGACAACACCCTCCTTTAGGAGAAGAACTATCAATAGTAAAAATCAGTATTTGGTCCGAGGGTGGGTGGTAAGGGTAGGGGGTTCCTCTTCATTCCTTTTATACAGGGTGTCCCCAAAAAATGTATACACACTTTGAATGATCATAAAGTCAGTGTTTATTAACATACAGTTCATTTTCAAAAATTTAAAAGAATCAACAGAAATGAATAATGTTCTTGTCCATGCCTGTTTTCAAACTCATGATCATTCTGGTCCAGGCACTGCTGATAACTCGAAGCAATGGAATCACAAACATCAAGAATCATTTTGTTCAGTATTTGTGCGCCCTCAATTCGTCTACTGTTGCCAGTTCTGTACCATAAACTTTATGTATCCCCATAAAAAAATAAGTCCAGTGGCACTTTAGGGATGGATGGATGGATGCTGAGCCCTGGTCCAAGGGATTGAAAAGATTAATCCCTTTTCAATCCCTTGGACCAGGGCTTAGGTTTCATTTTCTGTGTTCAGAGCTTAGTCTGGCTTCAACCTTTAAAAGAATCGACAGAAATGAATAATGTTCTTGTCCATGCCTGTTTTCAAACTCATGATCATTCTGGTCCAGGCACTGCTGATAACTCGAAGCAATGGAATCACAAACATCAAGAATCATTTTGTTCAGTATTTGTGCGCCCTCAATTCGTCTACTGTTGCCAGTTCTGTACCATAAACTTTATGTATCCCCACAAAAAAATAAGTCCAGTGGCACTTTAGGATTCATTTTCTGTGTTCAGAGCTTAGTCTGGCTTCAACCATTATTTCAAATCAGTTAAACCTAAAAAGGACTGAAAATTAAGTGAGTTATCAGCTATTAAAGTGTGTATACATTTTGGGGGACACCCTATATTTCAAATGTATATAACCTAACTCTGAAACATTTTTAAAAGATTCTAATTTGTCCGAATCATGGTCTTAAGGGTGATATTCTAGATACAATTTTTTTTCTTTTATGTCGTTTCTCCTACAGACAATGTTTACTATCATGAATTGGTGTAGGGACTCAACCTTGGTGTCCTAGATGCAGTTAAAAGTACTGATCTTGCCCAGCCTGCATGGCTCAGTGGTTGAGCATCGACCTAGGAAGGGGGTTGGGGGGGATGGTCTGTGGTGCGCAGTTGGATTCCCATGCTCGGGTTGCAGGCTCAATCCCCAGTGTGGGGTGTGCAGGAGGCAGCCAATCAATGACTTTCATCATTGATATTTCTGTCTCTCTCCCTTTTCATTCCTCTCTGAAATCAATAAAAATATATTTTTTTAAAAAGTACTGATCTCACCCTGGCCAGTGTGGCTCAGTTGGTTGGAGCCTCCTACTGTACACTAAAAAGTCGAAGGTTTGATTCCCGGTCAGGGCACATACCCAGTAATGGATTCGATCCCCAGTCGGGACGCGTGCAGCAGGCAACTGATCGATGTTTCACTCTCACATCGATGTTTCTCTCTCTCCCTCTCCCTTCCCTCTCAAAAAAAAAAAAGTACTGATTTCATTTCAACTTTGATAAACATCATTTTATACAGTGGAAGGAAAAAGCCTACTTGCAGAGCTAAAGACTTCTGATTCAACAGTCGCCAAATTTAGACTAAATAAATACCGGTTACGCTAAGTGCCTTCCCAGTGTCATCCCAGGAGGCCTCCTCTGCCACTCTGAGTTTTAAGTGTCATTATCTCCATCTTTGGGTGATGAAACTGAGCCACACAGTAGTTAACAACTTGCCCCGGGTCACAAAACTAGGAAGTGATGCCCACATTGACACCTCTGAGTGTGAGGTTAAGAACTTCGTAACAACCACTACGCAGATGACCAGGGTTCAAACGCAGGGCCTCCCTGCCCCTACCCACATCGCCTTTGCAGCTGCTCTCATTAGACTCAGACTTGCAGTTTCTCTAAGAAAAAGCTCTAATCTTTTCAATCCCTTGGACCAGGGCTCGGCAAACTGCTCAGCCCAATGCCTGATTTTATTGGAAATACAGTTTTATTTGCACACAGCCCAATCCATTCATTTACAGAATGTCTATGACTGCTTTCATTCAGTGTCAGAGCTGAGGAGTTGCGCGGAGCCATCTGGCCCCCAAGCATAAAATATTTACTATCTGGCCCTTTACAGAAAGCTTGCCAACCCTGCCTTAGACTCTAAGGCTTCAAGCCAGGATCAAAGCATGTAGTAGCCCCAACTCTGGCCTACCTGCCTGTGGCACTGCAGGACCCTTGCACTCATCATCCCCCTGACCTTCAGATTTAGCTGGTAGAGGGACATCAGAGAGCCATGAAATAGACTCACGCCTTTTGGGCATTCGGTGGTAAATAAAGGATAATTGTAACAGAGCCACCAAGGGAACAGGAAATGCTTTTGTCATGCAATCTGTGTTGGCACTGTCATGCATTCCTGGCCTCCTCCCTCCAACCAGAAGCAAAAATGCTTTGAGTTATGCTTCAAAAGCTTTTAGAAAACCAGAAATGTCAGGGGTGTCTGTATGGCTCTGGTTCCTTGCCTTTTCCCCACATTTTAGGGACAGTTGGCTCCAAGGGATCGCCAGACCCTTCCTATTGCACACCAGGTCAACAGAAAAACAAGCACTAGAGCCAGAAATAGAAGCCAACTGTTTCCCAGAATCCAGCTTTCCTAAACCCATAAAGCCACAGTCCCCCTTTTAAAAGTCCTTTGAACTCGGTATAATAAAAGCAGTGCCTGAGTTAAGTGCATTATTCTTCCTGTTGTTTGGAGGTAATATACAGATGGCATCGAGCTCTTCGAGGTAAAGACTTGTTCTCTTCCGTGTTCTCTTCGAAGCCACAAAGCACACTGGGGCCTCCTGGCTTCCAGATGCTCTTCCATGACTGGGAAGGGAGGTGCCTTTTCTCCTTTAATCCAGCCCCATCTTCTTCCTCTTCAGAGACATAGGCCAAATAAGTAGCTCTCACTGGCCGGCATTGACTCTGAGTCCTTAGCATCACTACCCTTCTCTTGCCACACATGACACGCCTATTTCTAAACAGATGTTCCTTTTCACATTTTTGTTTCCCCAAAGACTTTAGTTCAGAATAAGCCAGGTGCAGCGGCTAATGAGTGGAAGTATGGCACTGAACTTGGCTGGTTTTGCAGGTCCTCTTCCCTCCTCCTCTGGAATTGCAGGATCCTGGTGAAGTCACCCAGGCTCCCTAAGTGTGTTGTGTGCTCAGTGCCTGGCCATGCGGGACCTGGAGAAATGCCCTGGTGCCCTGGCCCTGTCCTTTCTGCCTTCAGGCTCGCACCATGAAGAGGATTTTCTAGAATCTATTGCATAGCTGAGAAACCACGTATTGTCCTGATCACATTGGGATCTTACAGAGGCAAATATATAGAGGGTCCCCAAAAATGTACACACACACTTTGAATAATTATAAAGGCAGTGCTTATTAAAATAGATTTTATTTTTAAAATTGAGCTATCAGCTGTTACAGTGTGTGTGTACATATTTTGGGGACACCCCTATAGGTCTGTAATTGAGTTTTCTGATTTGCTTTTGGTTGATTTGAAAACACATCAAGCAGATTTCTTTCATTATATGTTGATTTATAGCCTGAGAAAGAAACTATTGCGGCATCACAAATTATGGCAAACTTCGTGGCTTAAAACAACCTATGTTTATCTCTCAGTTTCCGTGGGCCAGGAGTCTGGCTACAGCTTAACGAAGCACTCTTCATGGCTGTGATCGAGGTATAGGTCAGGGCTGTGTCTCACCGGAGGCTCGACTGGGGAAGGGCCTGCTTCCAAACTCGTGTGGTTATTAGTAGAACTTCCTTTCATTGCAGGCTCTCACACTGAGGGCCTCGGTTCCTCACTGGCTGTCGGCTGTGGGCGGCCCTCACTTCCTTTTCACAACATGGAAGTTGGCTTCATCACACCCAGCAAGGAAGAGAGTCCCTGGCAAGATGAGCACTACAATCTTAGGTATTTATGTACAGATAATCACGTGTATCCCATCACCTGACTATATTTTACTAGTTAGAATAGAGTCCCTGGGCCCTCAGGGATTACACAGGGGCACCAGGAGGCAGGGATCTGGGGCACCACAGAATCTGTCTACTACAGAAACCCTCTCCTCTGGCAGGAAAAAGAAATTAGCAGTTGGATTTCTTTCCTCACATGCCACTGTCTTTGCCCTTTCTTCTCTCAAAAGGATGAAGAGAAGTTTGGGTTGCCTTGAAATCATCACCCACCTCTCTTTTCTTTGCTCCAACACAACTGTTGACTTAACCACAACCATACACAGGACTGCTCGCCTAGTCAAGGTTATTTTGGTTGCAAGAAAGAGAAACTTGTCCTGGCTGGTTTGGCTCAGTGGATAGAGCATCGGCCTTCGGACTGAAGGGTCCAGAGTTCGATTCTGGTCAAGGGTACATGCCCAGGTTGTGGGCTCGATCCCCATTTGGGGGTGTGCGGGAGGCAGCCGATCAGTGATTCTCTCTCATCATTGATGTTTCTATCGCTCTCTCTCCTCTCCCTTCCTTTCCCAAATCAATACAAATACATTTTAAAAAAGAGAGAAACTTGTTCAAGCTAGCTTAGTCGAAGGAGAAGAGTTTATTATAGGGATATCTCAAGGGACCTAACAACAGAAAGGCCTCCACACATTCCTCCCACCCCACCTCTCTCAGTGGCTACCCACTAAATCCAAAGTTCCATGTTCTCAGGTCAGGCCACAGGCAGATTCCTGTGCATGTCTGGATGCCAATTCTAACTTCCCAGGAGCAAACCCAATTGACCCAGCTTGGGTTAAATCTACACTCCTGACCCAATCAGCTGTGGCCGAGGATGGGCTGGCTGAGTACAAATGCTTGGAGATTGGATGTTCTCAAAGGGAGGGGTAGCAGCCAAAACAGTTTTGATCAGAGCCACAGACCAAATATAAAATGTCTCACCTGTTGCACCTGCATTCTCAGCTCTGGATCTCAGCTCTGGATGGTGATTAGAGAGAGAACGCTGGAGTTAGGCCTAAACCAAAGGCTCTCAGAGGTAGGCAGGAGCTGAAGGGCTGGCATGTGGAAGACTGGTCGGCCTTCGGTGGCCTTTGCAGGCAGGAATAGGGGAAGTGGATGCCAATAGCAGGGAAGTGGGTTTCAGCTTCGTGTAAAGAACTGCCAGATACTTAAAACCCACCTAACCTTCTGTCATTCTCTTGTCCCCAAGAGCTGCACCATGATCCTGGAATGCCCTTCTCAGCCCACAACTTTCTTTTATTCAAAATGTTTTACAAGTGCATATGTAGGCATTTATTGTATTCATTCCCATGGGCAGAGTAGAAACATACCACTTTATAGATGAGCAAGCAGAGGTGGGGTTCAGGATCCCCAGAACTAGAATCCAA